CCATCCATCCATCCATCCATCCATCCATCCATCCATCCACCCACCCATCCATCCATCCATCCATCCATCCATCCATCCATCCATCCACTCACCCACCCACCCACTCCTCCCTCCCTTTTTCCCTCCCTCCATCTATTTAGGCTACTTCTATTGAGAACCCATTACCTGCCAGGTCCTATGTTAAATACCAGAGAGAGTTGTAAGTATGATTCTTGCACTCAGTGACATTCCTGTTCTCAAAGACTGTATAGTCCTGTGGTGATGATAGCTCTGCAAACAAGTAAGAATGCTCAGTGTCCTTCATTTCTCTAGTCCTCAGGAACCACTATACCCTTTAAAGGCCAACCGAAGTCGCACCCTGTTTGTTCACAGGCTGGCCTCTTGCCTTACGTGTATTCTAGGGCCCTGCAAAGGGTGCTCATCTGTGCCACAAGCCAGCGGGCTTCGTTCTCTTCACTGTGACCGTCTTCCCTTGAAGGATCTCTTCTTCGTATCATCCCCAACTGGTGTCTCCAGACTCACTCCTCTCTATGTCCCTACACAGTTTGACTCGAGCTGGATCGAGGCCCCGAGTGTAGCAATGTAAGATAGCATCTTTATTGCACATTTCCTACAGCTTTAGAGACAGCAGCAATTTGCAGGTAACAGTTTACCATGCCTGCTGGGCTCCCCATGGTGTGTCTCCTCTTCTCGCCCCATCCTGTCCTTGCCATCCTTGCCCTCCAACCACAGAGGCCCTGAAGTGTCGGACCCTCAAGCACGGTAGGTTTCCTTCTTCAGGACCCTCGCTCTTCCTTTTTCCTGAATGTTCTCTTGGATCTTCCCATAGGAGCCTTTGTCTCGTCCTTTCCGCCCTTAATGCCACCTTGTCAATGATGAAGTCCCGTCACCATCGCTCTCTGAGCCCCTATTTTTAATTCCTTCATGACATTAACACCGTTTATAAGTATTTTACTTATATGTTTGTGTGTTTTTTCCTATTCCACTAAAATGAGGGCTTCTTATGGGCAAAGACCAGGTCAGTCTTACACACCATTATCTTCCTGGAACCCCAACCTCAATAAGTGGTTCAATACATTAAAAGAAAGAAAATGTTATAACTGGACAGTGGAAACTGGACATTGCTGTTCTTAGAGCTGCAAGGTCAGATTCCACCCATGGGACATCTTCCCCTGGTCCTTTGTCCTGGTTCTTACCTGCCCAGCCACCAGGTTGCAGCAGCAAGTCTGCCTCCCTCCCCGATGGCCTCTTACCCACAGTACAGACCCCAAACATTTTCTAATACAAACGAAAGGAAAAAGCAGTCTCCTCTTTCCCTCAGGTCTCATGCCAACCTTAGAATCACTTACCAAGAAGTGGCTCTTCCTGTGATAAAAACACACACAGGCCTTTACATCACTGATCAGAGAAGTTTACATCCTCTTGGTCTTTTTGTTTTGTTTTTAACATTTTTATTCTGGGAAACATATATAACAAAAAATTTGCCATTTTTAAGTGTACAATTCAGTGGCACTAAGTTATTCACAGCATTTTGCAGCCACCACCATTTTCAAAATTTTTTATTACTCCAGGCTCCCTTCAATTTCTTTCAGCAATGTCTTTTACTTTTCAGAGTATAACTCTTTCACAGCCTTGGTTAAACTTTTCCTAGGAATTTTATTATTATGGATACTATGGAAATAGAATTTCCTTAATTTCCTTTCTGGATCATTGATTACTGGTGCATAGAATTAACTGATTTTTCTGCCAATTGTGCACACAGGAACTTTGCTGGACTCGTTTATTAGCTCTAGTACTTTCTTGTGGGTTCTTTGGGACTTTTATTACATGTAGGACCATGTTATCTGCAAATAGAAATAGTTTTACTTTTCCTTTCCAGTTTGGATGCCTTTCTTTCTCTTGCCTAGTCGCTATGGCTATAGCTCCAGTACAATTCTGAATAACAATGGTGAAAGTGAGCATCTTTGTCTTTTTTCCCACCTCTGGGAGAAAGATTTTAGTTTTGATCACTGAGTATTTTGTTAGCTGTGGGGTTTTTGTAAATGCCTTTTATCACGTTATATTTTATTCAACATTTTATATATGTATATATGTTTATATAAATGTGTTTTATTCATATACTTTATATTATTTTATTATATATTTTTATATAAAATGTTTTATATATGCATGTAATATTTATATAAATACATATATGTACATATAGAAATGTACATATATAAGAAAATATATAAACAATATTATGTAAATATATCTTAAAATATGTAATACTTTATATGTTTATATATTTATATTTTATGTAATATTTTAGTGTTAAAATAGTTTTTCTAAAATTTTAGAGCAAAGCTGCTGTTCCTATGAGCTCTCTCAGATCATGTTTCTCCCAAAGCTTCATGTCCCCCGATACTAGAAACCCTCAGGGTTACCAGGACCCCTGGTTAAGAATAAGAGGAGGCAGAGTCTTATCTCTCCTTTCTTTTGTTCCCCCCACCCCCCAACCCTTCTCTGAAATGTCCTTTTTTTTTATAGTTTCCTCTCTTATCACTTAATCATTTGCTCATGAAAGAAAATAAACGCTTCAGTACTTGAGGACGTAGTATTTTCTAATTCCTAGAGTTTTAAAAAAATGAACGAATTATATTTTTTCCTTGGTGAAGAATATTTTTCATCAGAAGTACTTGGGAAGTACTTTGTTGCGGACTTCTAACACATTGGACCTAGGGCTGCACTGTCCTGGGCCAGAGGAGAACCTTTTGTTTTTTTGAGATTCCGTTTTCTCATGACGATGCCAAGTCATTGATTGGTGTTGAAAGCCAGACAGTGAAACAGCAAAGCAAGTGATGCGCGTGTCTGTGAGAAACTCCCAGATAAAGGCAGCTCTGTTTGCTGCCACTGAAGTCTAGCCCCTGAACCCCAGCGAGGTTGTTGAGGGGAACATTCGATAAGAATTTAGGGTGAAGAGATGTTTCCAGGCTGTTTATTAAATTCAAGTAGAACCTCCAACCCTTTCACATGAGGGCCAGGAGATGACAGGTAAGTGACCAGCTCGGTGAGCCCTGTCCCCAAGGACATCAAGGTCATGAACCGTAACCCAAGTCTTCCTTGCTGGCTCGCTGCGGGGAGCAGTGCTGATGTGTTTTACCCTCTTGCTGTTTTTCCCCTAACTGCTCCCCTATTATTCTGGTTGGTGTCTCACTCCTGCTACGAGCTTTGAGGGAGCGTCTGTTCTGAAGATGCATTGACTGGGCCATTCAGTGAACAGACGCTCAGTCGGTTAGTGGCTGCTGGAGGACCCTCACTGATCTGCTCACGCTAATTCTACTTTCTTTTCTATGTTCACCTGGAAGACGTGCCTTCTTCAAGAGCACCTTGAATCGGTGCAGAAGGAGTTCATCATTTTCAACAGAGAAAAGTAAGTGAGAGGCTCCTGCAAGAACAGCAGCCCAGGGAGAATGATAGTGTTTCAGCCAGAATTCACTGGCAAAGCCTTAATATATTTTTAACATTTTTATTCATTCTGTTTACAAAAATGGTGACTGTCCATAATAGAACATTTGGAAATTTCAGGAACCCTTTTTTCTTGTAAGAGATTTCAAAGGTTGTACTAGGTAAACAAGCTTCCAGCTTCTGTTGATGGGAAGGGCCGAGGAATTGGGACTTCAACATTTAATATCTATGATGTTCTTAAGAAGGTGTCCCTGACTGCTTTACAAGTCACTGGANTATGATGTTCTTAAGAAGGTGTCCCTGACCTCCTTATAAGTCACTGGCCTTCATGCTATCATTTCAAATGCTTAAATCTCTCTTTTCAGTGAATAAACCCTCATTTCTTTTCTTCTTTTTAAGAGTAAAAAGAGACTTTAATAAAAGACAAGCAGATCTGGCCTTCGAACAAACCAAAGACCCACAAGACGTGAACGGCCAGAATAACAACCTGTGAAGCCGTCGACATCTTCTTGGGACGTTTCCTGGCACCTCAGGCCAGCAAGTTCTGACTCCACATCGGGACAAGCTGACAGTAGTTCTCTCCGCACACCTCACACACCTTAGAAAATGTGAATGCCTGCCTTTGGAAGGAGGCGGCAGGGGCTCCCGGGGAACTGGTTGCACCATTAACAAACCGAGTGACCTTGAGCAAGTCACGTAACTACTTTTTCTGCTTCGGTTTATTCTAAAATGAGAGGGTTATACTAACGAGCTCTATTCTGCCTTTTTTATCACAACCAGTCTGTTATCCTAAACAGCCTTTATTTTTATTTCAAAAGGACTATTTAGATATAGGTTTTATTTTTCCACTCCTCCTAGTTACACTGTGACACATGGGCAAGTGGACGTAGGTGGGTGACTGAGTGAGGCTCTTCAGAGCTAGAAAACTTCATAAAGAGGTCACCGTCCCCAAGCCTGATTGGACAGCAATAAGGAATTCAGTCAGGAAGAAACGGATGGGACCAGATTGAAGTGACACAGACTTACCTGGACCTTCCAGTGCTGTGCTAAAGTCACACATCACATCAGCTTGTTCCAGCCAGCAAGAGCCGGCTACGCACACCTGTCCCAATGCCCTGTACAGTGGTATGAAGGTGGCAAGTTGAAACTGGTGATAATGGGCATTTACACCATGGGAATTGGCCAACGTTACACATCAGGGTGTTTCTCCCCGCATCCACCAAGCCGTTTGTTAACTATTTACTAGCACACCACTTGCCTTCTAGTAATCATGATCCTTGAGAGCTAATGGTCCTCCTCAGATTATTGGAGACCTGCGTCTGGAGGGGATCAGGAAAGATTTTGGTCGCATTGAAAGCATGTCTNCGTTTGTTAACTATTTACTAGCACACCACTTGCCTTCTAGTAATCATGATCCTTGAGAGCTAATGGTCCTCCTCAGATTATCGGAGACCTGCGTCTGGAGGGGATTGGGAAAGATTTTGGTCGCATTGAAAGCATGTCCACCTTGTAGTACAGTGACGTGTCTTACACAGGAATTACAGTCTCAGTTAGAATGTGAGGCGAGTTTGGACAATAGTAAAATTTACCCTTGAAAATTCCCTGAACTTACCCACAATGTATGGTGGGCATCTTGTCTTAGTGAAGCCCAGGGCAGCGAGCCACTGTTTTTGGTTCATTTTGATTTTGTTTTCCACTTTTACTTTTGGCTGATATCAGATGAATCAAAAACGCTGAACCAATCGTACACGCATTTATAGAGTAGAAATGCACTTAGCACTGGGACCCTCACGTCTGCGAGGTTAGGGTCGTGGAACTAAGGGACCGCCTCCCTGCCTGTGCTCACTGCAAGAATGGCCGGCGGAATCGCCCAATTACTAGGATATGGTTGATGTCTCACTGCTTTTCTTTATATTTTACTTATGTGTTTGTAAAACACCAAGTTTGACTCACCTAAGTGAAGTATGCATGTCATGTATCTCCTCTCTCCTGAAGATCTTTGCAGGGAACTATTCGGGGCACCTACAGATGCCACTGACTAGGGAGTCAAGAAGTGAAGAGTCTTGGCGGGAGGTTGTTTTAACCTCTTGGCACCCCTTTTATGGAGAGTGTTGGCCTCACCAAGATGGCAGTAAGCTGGCAACAGGGGAGACCAGACTGGCCCATCTGGGAAAGCAGACAGACGGACGCAGGCAGAAGCGGCACCCGCAGCGCCAGACTTCCCGGGAGGGCATTTGCACTAGGGCATCTCGGCGTGGGTAGAAGCCGGTGCTGAATTTTAACTCGGCATTCACAGCAGTCTCCTCGCTAAGCTGACAGGCCCAGGGTTCCTGGTGGAGCCATGACACGGGCCTACCTACTTTAACAGCAGAGGATCTAATTTCGATAAGTGGCAAGTGGTAAGGATTTGTGTTAGGAACTAAAGCCACCTCGTTTGTTCTGCTCAGTTCCCTCTCTCTCCATTCTCCACAGAGTCTATGCTATTTCATTCTTCTCCGAACACTATAAATTCTAAGTGCTTGCCCTGACTCAGTTTCTCCAAGAGGGGGATGGGTTGGCAAGATGACCAGATTCTGCTCCAGGGTGTCAGGGGCCACTGGCATGTTTACCAGCTTCCACCTTTCATTTGTCTTGGTTCAAGCCCTGCTGCGTGTGGACTTAGCCCCGAGTCACCAGTTCCCTCTCTTGCTCTGACGCTGTGAGCTTCAACCCAAAGGGGAGGCTTTGGGAACACTCTGCAAAGGGCAATGGGATTGGTAAGGTCTCCATCGGGATGGAAGCTGATCATTTGTACCATTTCACGTCCGTACAGTTTATAATGGGATGGGGACCCGATGCAGTCGCTGTCGCTTGAATCCCTGGTTTTTATTTCCGGTGAGCTGCACCCAAAGCAGCTAACCGGGCGTCCGGGAAGCGTGGACACGCTGACCGGGGAACACAGCCGCCTCTGAGAGCATCACGCATCTCCAGCCTCCACCAGGCTGCAGCCCCGCAACGTGGCCTCAGTTACAAAAGGCCTTGCATCCATCAGTGCAGAACTGGTTATATATAAACTCTTTCCACCGCTATCCATTTTAAACATTAGGACAATCCCGTTTGCCAAACAACAAAAGGATGCCCAAATCCCTACCACTTGCCACTTATCGAAATTAGATCCTCTGCTTTTTTCCCATAAGTTGGACTGAAAGTTACTATCCTACCTTGTGTCTCATCTAGATTTGTGACAACCGAGGCTCAGGACTAAAAATTTTAGAAAACGGTGACTACTGCATTTTTTTGTCTGGTGTTCCTGGAATCCTTTCGTCCTAACAGCTTCCTCCCATACCTGTGTGGGTCTAAAACGTCTGAGCAGGTTTTGAAGACCAGGAGCCTCCTACTTAGAACAACTCTAGCTAGTGCTGCGGCGGGTCACCCACCCTGGCANAACGTCTGAGCAGGTTTTGAAGACCAGGAGCCTCCTGCTTAGAACAACTCTAGCTAGTGCTGCGGCGGGTCACTCACCCTGGCGCGTCCACAGTGACCTCTAGTGGCTGGAGGGGGCAGCGGAGTCCCGTGACCCTGGCCTCAGCCCTGACTGGCAGTAAATGCTCTGCTGGTGGCAAACACCCCTCCAGGGCAGCACTAGTTTGGGCTGAGATCAATGCTAGGGCAGGAATGAACGTGGAGCAGCGCAGGGCACTGCTAAATTAATTCAGGAATTAAATTAATTAGCGGTTAGGCTTCTTCCGATAGGAAAGTTTTAACCAGAAACGACTAGACTTTAGATCATCCTAGGTTGCTTAGACTGAATGGACAAATAGCTATGGATTAAGAATGGCACTACAGCTGGCAGGGGCCAGCGGCTCTGGGCTGGACCAGTTCTTCCAAAGCTGAGTGAAAAGACACGGAAAGCACAGCGGGTTTGTCTCTGCACCCAGTTGTCCTTGCATCACATCTGCACAAAAGCCCGTTTCCTACTCCGTCCGCCCGGGATTACTGCTGCTTACACGCTCTGTGTGTCTGATAGTAAATCCTCCTGTTAAACCTCCAACTCCAAACTTCGGTTGCCTGTGCTGTTGGGAACAGGCAGCCCTTGGGTGGGAAACACGCCATCTGTTCAGCTGCAGCGGCTATAATGTCAATGTGCCTGCGTGTAGTAAAATGTCTTCTGTACACAGTAAGCCACTGACCCTTCTTTGCCGGGTGTGTGTGTGTGTGTGTGTGTGTGTGTCGGTTTTCCCTAGAGGAGGGGTGGTGGTGCCATCACGTGTTCTTTCTTCCATTCCTGCTACGAGGAAAGTCCTTTACCAGGCATGCTGGTAATCGAGATGATCTTCTATAAACTATGGGCTGTGACACAACTTAATCCCCATGTATAAACGCAAAACCCGGCCCCTCTAGCATGCACACCTTAGGGTGCACAAGCCAGAATTCCAGATATTGCCCTTCACCGCGACCATGAGCCCTGGACACCTTTATCTGGCCCTCTGCCTCCCACCCCTCACCTTTTTTCCCTGCTCCATCCCACCCACCCACGCAGCGGGTGGACGCTCCAAGGCCCGTGCTCTGGGAAAGGAAGGTAAGAGCAGCTCTGAACTGCAGCTGGAAGCACCTTCTGCGTTAGGAGGGAATAGGGGCCTTCAGCTGCCTCTCAGATGCACAATAGCTTAGCAGCAGGCCAGCTGGTCCCCCGGGCTGGTCCTGAAATAAAGAGGCGCTTGTACGTCTCGTGGGCTCCACATGCTGGGTGCCCTGAGTCCAGGTCATGTTCGGTCACCTGTGGCTCAGCTGCCACTTGAGGGCAGGGCAGGGTCTCTGCTTCAGGAGGGTGCCAGCCTTGAGTGAGGCCGTTTTTGCAGGTTGCTTTGGCCCTTTCATCCCAGACTTCTGTTCACGCTTAGTATTCCCTTTGTGAAGGCTTGATGGAAGCAGAAAGATTCCAGAAAGTTCTCTGGAACCAGAGGGATCCGGTTATTCCTATTCAGTGTTCTCCTTCCCCACCTGGTCAGTGTGACTCGGCCTAGAATTCCTCCAACCCGCAGGTGAGGTTAGTCAGTGTGCAAATTGCACTGGCATTTTTTAAGAACTGTTCCATCTCTTGTAGAGCCTTGCGGCCTCGCTCACCCTGAACAGGGCCAGCTGCTGCCCTGCTCATGCGCAGGGAGAGGTGCTTCCCCGATCCCGAGTTCAAGCCAGAAAATGGGACTATGGGCCCAAACTTATTTATTATTTTTTTAATCCTTACCTGTGGATATGTTTTGCTGATTTGAGAGAGAGGGGAAAGGAGGGGAAGGGGGAAGAGAGAGAAGCATCCCTCGGTTACCTCCCGTATTCGCCCTGACCAGGGATCGAACCCAAAACCTGGGCATGTGCTCTGACCGGAAATCGAACTTGCCGCCTACCGAGCCACACCGGCCAGGCTGGGCCAAAGCTTATGGATCATCAACCTCGAGCCACAGCTGAAATGACTCCTTTTGTGCCCAGAGGAGCTGTTGGTGTGCTTTCCGAGCTGTGTAAGAAGCACCGCGCTGTGCTCCCCCACGGACAGCATGGGTCTAGCGAAGCAAGAGGGGCTCACCGCACATAAACGCAGGTCACCAGCAATGACCACCGCAACCCTCCCCACCCGCCTCGGCCTCAGCACGGCCGCTTCGCTGAGCACCGCATCCGTGCCCCGCAGGCTTGGGGACAGTGGCGGGGCGTCTGCTGGCTTGGCCTGCCCAGCAGCCATCCCATCCCCTCCTCTTCTGGTATCACAAATCACTTTTCTTTGAGTTAGTGACAGTCCACATGGGTCAGGTGGCTGGGCACGTGGCCAGGTGGGGCTGATCAGTCCAGTCTCCGGGCCACAGTGACCAGTTCCCTGATGAAAACCCATGACCTGAGCCAGACCAGTCACAGTCCGTCTCCTTGGCTGGAACTATGGAGGGAATCCCTCTGCTTCCCCTGAAATGACTCCGCTGGTAAAAGGAAAGCCTGCAGACGCCAATGGCCAGGTTGGCTCCCACGTGCAAAGAGCTTGCTTAAGAACAGAGCACCGACCAGCAGCAGGCAGGACAGAGATTCTCAAAAAAGCAGCAGCAATATTCTAGACCAGGCTTTGCTGGAATCTACCCAAATCTATCCCTCCAGTTTTCAGTTACACCCTTTT